ATTTTTCGATAAACGATTTTTAGTATTTAATTCTAATCACATTCTAAAAATAATAATAACAGTAATAATCGCATACTTCATACAACTTTGACCGTACAGAATAATTATTTTTAATGAGTTTTGAATTTCAAAGAATTTAGTACAGTCATAGTGATATTTTTTTCAAATATTGAAATGGTATTATTTTAATTCGATTTATGGATTAAATATTGAAATATAATATAATACTATTTTAATTGCAGATTGTTAATATAGTTGACTTTCAAAATCTTTAATCAAATTTATTTTTCTAGATTAAGCAGTTTAGAAAATTATCAGGTATATAGGCTATTGTTAAATACTCGATTATGGTACGTTCTTTCTCAGAATGCAAGAATTTATGAAAATGAAATATTATAATTTATTGTACCTATCGAAGTATCGAGCCTTGGTGATTGAATTAAGATGAGTGATCAAAAAAATATTGTATTTGAACTCTGTATTATTTTTAAAATACAATCATTAGCTATAATAAACTAACATAAAATTACTCAGAAATATTAATGATCTTGAAATAATGTATTATTTTATTTTGTAGTTTTGTCGAAAAAAATTTATTTWTTAATTATRTAAGCGATTAGAGTAAATATTAATGATGATAATACTGTAGTATTAAAAACTGCACTACATTCATATAATAATTGGTCGTCGAAATGAGTCTTGTGCGTTTTGTAATAGGTAGCCAAACAATTACACATGTTAAACAATTTCTCCACAAGAAAAAAAAAATTTAAACAACATTTTTAATGCGTTGGTAATTTTTTTTTTATTTGTTTGTGACATTTTTTTCGAAAGTGATAATATCCGGTTTACAAACACAACAAATAAATAAAAATAATGATATATGGTTTTTTTTTGTGCTTTAAAACGACGTGTAATATTATGCATCCTCAACGGATTAAACGCTCGTGGATTTCAAGCGTTTAATTTCATATAACTAAAATATAATATCTACATGATATAAATATCTACACACATATGTATATATTGCATTGTAAATTTAATATAGTTCCAATGCATTATCGACTCCATGGATATATTAAAGCCCCGTTTAAGAATTTTTAATTCACGGACAGAGTTTATATAGGTCTTTTGAAAAATGTATATATAGTATATACCTATGATATGATTTACTAATATGGTATGGAATATTTTATAATGGCATAAATGAAATAAACATGGTGACATTAATCAAAAATTACAAAATTATCAATTATATAATATATATATATATTTAATATAATGAGCAAATTGGAAGTTACATATAAATGTGAAATATTCTCTATTACACGATAATATGAATTTTCTGTAACATGACAGCCTAAACTGTAAAAAAAAAAAAATAATTATAAACTACAGAAAAATATACAATATTGTTTATAAAAATGGCCAAATATGTACAAAAATATAAAATATTTTCRTAAATTATAYATTATAYAGACATCTGATTTAGTGCTCAGACATAATACTCCRGAGTTTATAGTGGTTGCGTGTATTGTGTTATAAGACATGTTTTGATAAATCATTGCAAATGATTGGGCTCAGGGTGAATCTAGATTTTATGACGTGAAGTAAAATATGTACTTTTGACTTATGTAGCACATTTTTTAAGTGTATCTGTTACGGGTAAAATACTTAAGATGGATCATATATACATTATCCATGCATTGTACCAGGCGAACACTGCCTATACARCTATACCTATTGAATAAATTAAAAATATTATTTATAACACTTTATTTACCCGTAAATAAACAGGTAAAATACCCGAATAATTTATACATTATTTACGGCAGAGTAATTGAGCTGTAAATCACACACTTTGATGAAACAAGGATTAATAATTTAATAATTTAATAATACTCTAATAAATACATTTTATATTAGCTATCTATTTAATTTTTTTTTTTTTTTTAAATACGATTTAATTTTTGTTACTAGAATTGAATAGTGTTTGGCATGTTGACTATTTGATGTTTACGGTACCTAGGCATTATATTTACATACATAAAATTACTTTAAATTTGATAATTAGCTTGAGTATAATATAATATATAAAATAATATAATACTTAATACAGTACATCGACTAATGTGTAAATTATCTAGATAGTGTTTGCATTATACACATTATATTATCTAAGGTGGGCACCTATTACGATCATGTGGATGAGRTTTAGTAAACGGACACTATTTGTAGGTGCTGTCTATCGTTTTATTTGCATACCGAGGAAATTAATTACGGTAAATAAAGAAACTGATAAATATATTATAAAATATGAGACAAGATCGATTGTTTTAGTCTTTATCACATTTGAGAGTAAATTATTTATACACTTTAATATGGATAACTTAACAATCACTATATACAACTTAAACATTTTTAAAAATGTGTACGAATACACAATCTTATGAATAAATTAATAGAATATTTATATCATCTTTAGCGTTTTTACCAGTTWARAAATAGTTAATAATATACATTAAAAAGTTTTTTCAACATCTCCATATATTAAGCATATTATACAAATATATTTGCTGAAAAAATGGTAAATACGCGTATAAATCCCTTCTTCAAATAATTGAAGTGTTGAATAACAAACAATTAATTATTAAAGGATAAATAATTTWAACAAGTGGTTGAATTGTTCATTCAATAAATTGATTGGATTAGCCAATTCATGGATCCGGACTGCTTTGCGATCTTTTAAACTAGGCAATTGTAGCTAAAAAAAAAACAGAAATACTAAAAAAAATAATGCACGAAGCACGAAAATAAAACAATATAATCAACAACTATTTGAAATAATTTGCGATACATTTAACCTAGTTAAAATATTATAACGCATAATTTTTAAATATTATGACATTATGTTAATGTTAATATTTGTACCTATTTGAATTTGTAATTACAGTAATGTAAAATATTATGTACACTTATTATAGTACAAACTATCCAACATATTGAATATTGTTACTATAGGTACCTTAAATAGTACATATTATAAAACATACATCAATGCTTTTTTATTTCTTTTTATACTACGTTACAAAGTGTCTCATATGCATTTGGTTTACATTACTTGGGTAATATTAAACACTACCCGTTTTTTTTACCTTACCGGTATCAAGTCGTTTATAGGTTAAGTTTTTAATTTGAAGGTGTTGGCCGTTGAAGCCTATTTGTTTTTATTACAAAAACATGTCTTACAGGAAACATTTTGTAACTCTGTAGAATAGCCAAATTTCATTTTTTTTTTTTTTAATTTAAAATAAGAAGGGGTTCGCAGGTTAGATCAAAACCCAATTTTCAAAATTAAAATTCTAAAAGCTAAAAATATATGCATTTGAATAATGCACATTATTGTCATATTTCAAACATATTTTTCCAGCACTAATTTAAAAGTAAAATGAAAATCTGACCTGAAAAAAGTTCTAATCTTTCAGATAAAAAAAAATATATATATATATTAAAACCCGACATATCAACGAGTTGTATGAGTTATGAATATAATCATATTAGTCATTTTTGTTGATTTAATACACCAGGAGTTACTAAATGACGGCCCGCTTGCAAATTTTTTCTGGCTCGCAGACAAAAAAAATAAAAATAAAAATCGATAACATTAAACGTTCTAAATTTCTAATGCTGAAAATTTTATAATTTTTGTTCATTGGTTTTTTGTTGKTTTTACTAATTACCGCAATTTTGATGGCCCACGAATAATTTCTAGATTTCTAATGTAAACGTATAAAATAATAATTAGCTACCTTTGTGTCRTTACGCCGTGTCGTCTCCCCCTAAAAATATATCGGATAGTATATTAATAGAAAAGTATTAAAATGGTACTATAATATTTAGGCGACAACTGAAATATAAAATATAATTTYMTAGTTTCATAGAACAGTAGAAAATTAGGAACACCGACACTGAAACTCTCAGCTAACAATCTAAAAATCATATTAATTTAAGAATAAAATATTTTTATTGTACGTTTTATGAGTCTCAAACAATGCATACAAGTTTTCACGTTATTGCTTAGGGTAAAAAATAATTACCTACTCGTAATATTTTAATATTGGTGATACGTAAATAAAATATAATGGCTGYATTTTATSAGTGAAAATTGAAAACGTACCTATTCAATTGGCAATTATAATAGTAAACATTTATTCTAAATTAAAATGGCTATTTATCATATTTTTATTTTAGAACAATTTAATTTGTATCATTTAGTTAAACTTTTAATAAAAATAAAATATCCAAATATTGCTATAAACGTATTTTATCTATTTTAATACAGACAATTTTTATGAACTTACTTAATACAACATAATAATATAACTATTAATAATATACTATTTATAATTATGCAATATTGATTTTTAYTTTTTTTAAATATTATTTCAAGCACTTTCAAGKGCATAATAAAATGTATTTGTAAAATTATTACTTATCAGTTATTATATTATATATAATTTTTTTAATTAKGTATTTATATAATTTTAACTAAAATATTTACACAATAAATTGAGGACATTCATAAGCCAGACATGGTGATATCTAAATTTATAAAAACTTAAATTGTTATTCTAATATATTATTTAAAAATTAAAAATACATGATGACATATATCAGTTAAAGATTTAATCCAAAATTTAAAAATTACTATCAATAATTGTTTATGTAATCAAATAGGTTAAAAAAAACAACTATACCTATTTGATTGTTGCTATATATCTGTGATATTATTTAGGTTACTAACTCGTAACAATTGTGTGAGACTATAATAATAATAATAATAATAATAACAACAACAATATTAATTGTCTAGTTTTCCACTACCCTAAAATATTACGATGGCAACATTTGCTGATGTTTAATATTCGAACGACTGAGACATATAAATACCAGTCGGTCATATGAATGAGGTACCAGTTGTGTCAGTCCATCATCAGAGTCATCATCAAACATGAATTCTGCTTTGGTTATTGCATCCGTTCTTTTAGCCAGCGTGGCTCTCGAAGTCACCGCCCGCATCGTCAATGACAACCAAAACCAGTATGAAAACAGTGAGTATACAATTTTTTTGAATTTTAATCTCCGAACACTTTAAGCAAATACTCATACACACATACACTTTCGAATTCAAATTACGTTGATTTAATATACAATATCATTATTTTTAGATAACCAGTGGACCCGTTTACAACGAGAGGACGCCAGTGACGAATCTGCTGAGTCGAGCTTAAACGAATATCAAAACAACAACAATTTCAACAACGTCCGAAGCAACTATGAGTCGGAATCTACGTTTGTTGACCGTTCACGTCAAATCAACCAAAACGACGAAACTTATTTTRGTTCCAGCCAAGAGGTAGGTCAACAAAAACAACGCAAAAGCCAAAACCAATTGAATTCCGTCAGCCGTCCAGAAGGACTAGCCAAGATAATGGTCGAGAAAATCGCCACCATTCAGAAAATCGCCGTCGATCACAGYATCGCCGACGCTGCTAATTTTTTGGACGCAGYGCTCACCGTCAACTCTAACTCCGTTAAATTTCCCAAACACAATTTCGTGTCGTTCTACAACTCAACAATGAAGAACCTTGAAAATGGTATGTTAGAGTACCTGTACCTGAACCCCAAAATGGACACCGTGTTTGCCCAGTACCAGTTCAACGAGATCAAAACCGTCGGATCGTTCAAGTCAAACATCGCCCACGCTCATTCAGGTTACTACACAGTCATCTTAAACAACGTGTTCAGCAACTTGTCGACTGGATTCTATGACAACAAACACGCCGTGATCAAGGCAGCCAAATTCCAAAACGCTGACGTCAACATAATCACYAACGACGGTTCCGAAACGCAAGTGTTCAACCCGGCTATGGAACAAAAATATTTGGGTGTGTTGGCCAACACCTTGTCCAACGAAGTAATGAAATCTGCCAACAAGGGTGTGCTTATCCAGATTAAAAACGAAATCCGCAAACCAATCGTTTTCCAAATGAACACTGCTAGAAAGAACATAAACAAGCTGTTCGACTTAAGATGGCAGGAGGATCAAGTCACTATGGAAATGACCAACATCGGTTTCATGAATTCAGAAGAACTGGAACAAGCCACAGAACATTTATTGAACTCTGTGACTTTCCAAAGGAAATCCCAAGACTCCTACAGGATGCGTTATGACTTCGCCATCAAAAACATGGAATGGACATCCGCTTTGAATATCGTGTCAGCTGGTGTGAGGACAACCACAGATCCAATACAATTCACCATCGACCARATCAACATCAATTTCTACGTCGAAAAGTCCGTCCACGATAAACAACAGTTGTATGGCAAGACTTACACCGCCGTAGAAATACGAGGTCTCCATTACAACTTGAAGCACGTCAAGTCCGACCTTGTGCCCTACTTCGAAAACGACCTCCAACGTTTCATGGAACTTTCTTTGGAATCTTACCTTCAAGATTCTTTGGTACAAGAATTAACCAGCTCTAGTCGCCAATACTAAATCGACTCTTTAAACATAAGTTTTTAAAATATATTATACAAAATACCTAAGCAATAGTATAAACATTAGACATATAATTCTCTTTAGTTTTTAATTTTACAATAGTTTTATAATATTTGATTGCCTACAAAATAAATTTAACATCTAATACATTAACTTATTGATGTGTATATATTTTAAATGCAACATAAATATGAATTTTATGTTCAATCGGTAAAAACAAATATTTCAATCCGAAATTTTTCGATTTTAGTGGAGAACTGGGAAATAAGGTACAAGCATAATACATAATTTTGACGAAAGTCATGATGCAATTATATACCTAGTTTACTTTAAATCAATTTGTTGCATTTATGTAATTGCTAATAATTGTTCATACATGTATTACTTATAACTGTGTGGATGAATTATTCAACAATAGATAAATATTATATAGACAATATTATAGATATGTATCGTATGAAGGAATATGAACATAGTAACATTTTAGCAACTCAAATATTAAATAGGATATTAAACTTACACTAGCATAATTTCTATAAGTAAATACAAATCTGGGTTATTAATAATAATAATTTAAAGTAATTTATTCTATTAAGCAAACATAATTTACAAAGCATTAATTAATACCAAACATTTCAAAATATTTATTTATAAGCACGGTGTATGCTGCTGTATGTATATTTCTTATATTACTAGCAGTCGTATTACCCTGGAATTGTAAGGGGGTAAATAAAACTAAGATGTGACAAACAATATCATATTTTTTTTTTACATGAACCAATTGTAAATCGAAAGAACGGATATATAATATATATGGTTGTGGTTTTAATATTAAAAATATTACTAAAATAATTGGTTCAATCTATTGTCTAAACTTTATTTGAATCATCAATATCAGTTGAGTATTTTTTGATTCCAAAAACCTTAGCCTGTACTTTTCATTTAATATATAATATTGCTGTTGACAATATTAATTGGCCATTATAAATTTATAATATRTATTATTATTGTTGCGGCTTTTAATATTATTATAAAAACATAAAAACATAAAAGTGATGATATGTCAATGAATAATATGTATTTAAAATATTAATTGGTTAATAAAATGCAGCCTGAAAGTGTGTGCATACAATATAAGTACATTATAATAGTATAATATATTTTTATAATTGTGTTAAAATTTATAAAATATAGCTATTATTTATCTACTATTTCGATTATATTCGTATAGGCTTAAAAATTAAAATGCAATGGTATGCTGCCTTAAATATGTACACAAACGAAAAACCTACATTTTTTTATACTTTATTTTTGTTTATTCCAAGGCTGTATTTAATTGACCAACAAAACGCTCGTTTAATATTTATTGAACGATAAGAACTATACAATTAATATTAAAATTAATTGTTTACATATAACAATAATCATATTTTTTTATTATTGATATCATATTACCACRTTCGTAATTTTGTATGTGTAATAGTATTATRGATACTATAGGACAAGGATCACTAATTGATATTTTTAGAGATCTACGCAGGACTTATGGAAGATTTCAAGACTCATAAAAAGTGTATATACCTACATGTTTATCCGAATGAGAAAGTACAGGTAAAATATTAAAAAATCAACAAAAACCATTAAAACCATAAAAACCATCCTTAATCATATATCAAAAATCATAATTTTAGAAATAAATGCCTTGACCGTGTGCCAAATTTTCGTTCACTGGCCGTTATTTGATGTTTTCTAATTTAGCTGGAGTAGGTATATAACACTATAGCATATTCTATACCAACTGCAACGGTATAATAAGGTAAATTAAAACTATACATTTGTCTGTATTATATAATATAGACCATGGTTTAGGACTATAAAATAATATAAATTTTATCCGGTATCGTATATTATTATTTAAATGCGTAGCTGATTAAAAAAATTAAATCTGTACGAATGAAATATAAAATAAATATTTATGCGACAAATAATAAATTGTAAATATAAATATAAATGCATGACCAAGAAGGACAATAGAAAACGCTAACGCTGTCGCGTCTACATAATATAATATCATTGTTGTTACAATAATTAATAGTGACGATTATAATAATTGTAAGTATATTTTATACGTCTGCTAATTAATATTTTTCGGTACACGTGGTATTCCAGCTATCACTCGGCCTTCGATGTGACACTCGTTGTTGCCTCTAAGTATTCTGAAAAGTCCGTTCTCGCCCCACGATCGGCTCCACGAATTGGCACACAACCAATACTTGACACCATCGTCAACACCCCAACCCAAGATTTTGATCGCGTGGCCGCCTTCTATCTGACCTCTCGTGTAACTGTATACTCCTATATGATATACACAACAAAAGTTCAACATAACACATGAATCAAAKTGAAAGTTATATAATTGCAGTACTATAACGATAAGTAATAAGTATTATGAATTATGATCAATATTTATTTATTTATTCATATATCACTTAAATAAACGTTTTGTTGTTTTACATGTTACTATAAGGTTTTATAAATATATTTACTAATATTGTAAAGATATATTATTTTATTATTTTCACAACTCAAATTATACCAGACCATTTAAATGCATATATGAGTCCAGCCCCCCAAATTTAGCCATTTGGGCTGGTCAAAACTTTCCCCTCTCTTTATTTAAACTGAAATGATGCCACTGGTATATAAATTATTCTTCTCTGTTGCTATAGCGTATTAAAATCAAAGCAATATTATAGTTTACAAACAGTTTGAAATTTAAAAAAAAAAACATCGTATAGTTTTTCTCTATACGGAAAATCTACGAATCTTGTACCTATATCATTTTTTTTTAATAAATAACCACAGCAATAAAAACTTAACTAGAAATCGGTCATAAATATATTTGTATTGTATATCCTATAAAAAAAAATACAATACRATACAATAAAATATTGATCAATGTTTTAAAATACCTTTGCTTTTAATCAAAAATAAGATTATGATACTAATTATCCATCAATTATGAAGTGTATTTAGTATAATATTATTACGATTTACGATTTAATTAATTGCTGTATACTCGGTGAAAATTAATATTGAACGAGCTATAATTTAAGAGGATTGAAGACTTACCGCTTTTATAGTACATAAAATCCGTATACACGTAGAACGCCGCTTGGACAGGACCGTTTTTGTATAAATCAGTCATGATATCTTCTTCGGATGTTGGGAGCGAGTATACGGTATTAACTAAAAACGARTTGTATACATGAATTAGCATTCAACACTATTATGTAGGTTTTTTACTCTATACTAATAACATAATAAGATACAATACAATCAATGGACAGAAAATTATTTATGTCAGTTCCAATGACATCAATTAAATAGAATTACACGTACACTGATATACTGGCAATACCTACCATAATGCAAATCAGCTCTGTACCCTTTCGTGTAGTTCGAGTTGGTGCAAGTTTTTATCGTACAATCGGGCGTGTCGATATCTTCTTCGATGCAAGTATTCCTTCCTTTACCACACGGATAAATACTGTATGGTTGACAACCCTTATTCAAGCGAATAAACAAAAATATTGTTATATTGCATAAAGACGTGTAAATTATAATAAAGCGAAAGTATTTGTAGTCAATTTCAGTCAATGGCAATTACTTAAGATGAATTATAATCATTTCCAATATTGGCAGTTGGAGAGCTATTTATACCAGAATATAAGTTGCTCTACACCCATATCATGGCAAACCATTCATGTGTATTCCACCACTTGAATTTTAAAAAAGTACAAAAATAGAATRTGAATAACTAAATATTTAAAAATTCTTTTTGATTTGGATGCAACTATGGGGGTAGATGAGAGGGTACTTTATAATTATATTTTAAAAAAATAAAAGGAATTCCACCCCGTTCCCTCAATTCAAGCACTTTGTATGTGTACGTCTTATTATAATTATTTATCGTCTCACCTCTCCGGATTCATAATCTCCACCCGTGACGATACCATGTCTCATGAAGAAATACCACGCTGCCTCTGGTGACCCACCGTCACATCCGTTACCACATCGATAGCAACAAGTGTTCAGCTGTTCGGCGGATAGGTTTCTGGTCACTGCGCCACCGGAGGCTATGCACAGACGGTCGCTGAACACGGAAGCTGCAGAAACAGCCTAAAAATATATTATTGCGAATAATAATKAATAACCATTTTWATTTTATAAATCAATAAAACCGTTCTGTCTACAGTGTTTTGCTATTCAAAACTCAAAGGGCAACTTTCTTAAGTTTAAATTCACATTTTTATCATGAACGTTTTAGTTGGTCATAAAACTTATTCTGTACAAAAAAAGTCTAATTACTTTATAAGTATATTATTATKATGATATTATTGTTGTAATAGTGTAATTTATTTTACCTAACAGTTTTAAGTAATAATACAGGTTGAATTAATTTTTAATGAAAACGATGTATTTTAAAATGCCACTATTTGTATAAAATATAGTTATATACCATAAAAAAGTACTCACGAATAATATTTTTTACTAAAACAAAATATCTAAAATTCTTAGGACCTAAAATAAGAGTTGCTAACTTTATTTATAATGAATATAATAACTTTAATAACTTACATGTTTAAAAAATTTTAATTTATCTCACAGACATTATATAATACAGCCATATATAAATGTATTATAGTTATTATAACTATAGCACTTGAAACGATTAAAATAATAACTAATCGTATTGTTAAAACTAAATTACTCGAAGTATGGGATTCGAGGTTAGTGATTAAATGGCTTGCAAAATTAGAGTACTCGAGTCGATATTATCCACTGTAACCACTCAACGTGYCGTGCCTATTAGATAGTAGTTGTAGTAGTCTTATCTTTTTTCGATGGTTCAGTAAAAATTACACCACTATATGTGTCCTAAAGAAACCGAAAACTCAACAATAAACTTATATTAGTTATGCAAAATTATTATATTATGATAAAATATAAAGGGGTTGCTTATTTTTAATAGTAAGCAATTTCCGATAAAAAAAATATACTAGAGGCTAATGAAAATTCGAGATTTAATTTTAAAAATGCTCTAACTCAAATTATGTTTATTTTTTACAGCTTGCAACTTGTAATTTAAGAATATTAGTAATTAGAATATTAAAAAATATATATATTTTTACTAAAATTTATATTTTAATATTAATCTAAATTTCATGAAAATATTAATTCTTAATATTATAAGTTTTATTTTGTTTGTAAGGTATTTATGATTTTTTCAGAAATCCTAAAATACAGACACGATTATGGCATCATACATTGTACAAKACATTACATATAGTGTTAAAAAATTAGGTTACCATAAAAAATATACCTTTGTAAGATTAATAGGTAGATGAAAAGAACGGGAAAATATATAGATTGTATAGCCTACGSCGTATATTGGGATACCTAGTTTTCAAACTTTATGTTATATTATTAATTTATTCTCACCCAACATGATCCACAGTTAGACTGGTCTTTGATCGAACCTAACAAGGACGAACACTCGGGCCATCGTTCTCTGGCGTCAAAATTCTCGGGGAGGGCTTCGTTGGATTCACTCTCGACGCTTTTCTTTATCGGAGCAAACCTGAACGCGTTTCCGTCCCTGGGCAATACCCCCATTAACTGATTGAAGTGTTTTCCGTCTCCTGGGATGACGTTGGTGTCGCTGGCCTGAAACATGGCCGGGAAAAATCAGGTCAAACAATGAAAGTGAACATCATTATTTTAAATTTTTTGAACTTATTTTCATCGTCATCAAAGTTAACATCGGTAAATTGCATGATCATAGTTATAGCATATTAATCACATTATACACCAATTTATATTGGTAATACACAATACTAGTATACTATCTCTGGTTCAAAAATTCAGTACATTATGTATTTATTTTTTTCTTGAATGACTAATTTAGTCAAATGTGTCTATTCGACGCTTAAAACATCGTCCGATAGGTTCCAAATCTGTACCATTTTTTTTACAACCAATTTACAATAATTCACAGTATCGATAAAAAACAAAAAATAAACTAAAAAAACTAAAAAATACAACTTAAAATTTAAAACTGCAAAAAATAGCTCGGGGTGGTAAATTAGTTAACAAAATAATGACACCGATCGAAAAAAACTGGTGTGCAAAATGTACGTATGCAYGTGAGAAGCCTGTGTTAATTTACTTCACGAGAAGCTACAGAGTCCGGTCAAGGATCAAAGATTATAAATTATATTCTTGTATGCGATTCATTTTGTAAATTCCAATGGACTTTGAACGTAAACAGTAAAAACACATTTAACACATTTTCTTATGTTCTCAAGTATATTTTACCTGAGTGTATATCACACATAAAACAATTTCAATTTCGTGCATTTTATTGTAATTTTCAATTAACACTTGAAAAACATTATAATATAATAAATTGTGTGTATAATATTTTTACGTGGATAGTAAATTAGCATTATGATGAAATTAATAATTGAAACTCGATGGTCGAGGTAATGCAAAACATACCCTCCACGTATTGCCTGGATCCCCGTTCACTGAGTCGATGATAAACGTCGCTTCGTTCATCACCGCCGAAGATTCGCAGACGGCGAATGCCACTGCTGCCACTAGGAGTATCAAAATACTTTTAGACATTTTTCTACGAATTTGCTTGAGATACGACTCATGTACGTGATCCTACTACTGGGGACCGTATTTGAAGCGTCTACCCAAGAATCGACRATGAATGGTATTTGAATGTTTTTTTTTACATTTCAATTGCCTCTCATTCCAATAGAATTATGTTATCAACCGTTATCGTAGACACTTGTCTAAGCCGTCGCCCAAGAAACGATAAGAGCTAAGATCTCAACGTCCTAAACGAAAATATTTTTAGAATTTAAGGTTACAAACTTTAAAGCTTAACTCGTAGTACATACAAGCAACTTGATTATAATATATACAATATTTTAATTAAATAATGCATAACCTAATTTGAATGATAATGTATATGGTAGAAAGATGGTATATTATTAAGGTTTAGTTAAATAATAATATACGACAAATAATATAATGTATACCTAATATTTATTTCCACCGTTTTTCTTGAATGTTAGAAAAATAACGAAAAATTCAAAATTAAATCTGTAATTTGTGATTGCTAGTCACGTTTTTTATTTCAAAAATGAATATTATAATAAAATTCTTATTTTTTAAATTTTTAGCCTTTCCTATGTAAGGACAAAAAATCTATGTTTTCAAATACTTGGAATTTTTAATAATATCTAACTCTTTCTTCTGTACATAATTATCAAGAGGCTGTAGTTAAAATATTTATGTATTTCAGTAAAAGTTTAAAAGAGTATTTTCCGGATAAATTACCGGTCAGTACTAAGAATAATAATTTAGTTCGTGATAATTCGTTTAGAAAATATGACCCTATGCTCTTTACTGATTTTAATCCCTATTTATTTATTAATATTAGTTTATTATTAATGTCATAAAATGTGTATAAATATTATTGGAGTTTAATGAGTATTAATTTCCGTTTTTTAATTTTATATTATTTGTAAGACCATTCCYAAGGACCATTATTGTTATTACATAAAGCTCAATAATTCAGAAACTACATACTCGTTCACATTTTGATTTAGGTGCATTAATATTAAAAAAAAATCATCTAATTATCAATTTATAATAGAAAAATGTAGTTATCGACCAAAAAAAAAATAAAAATAAGTTTATGATACAAAAAGACGGAGTGTCTTTTSTAATCTATAAATGATATAAAATATCTAAGCAACTGAAAATAATATGGATTTTAATTTTTTTTTTCATTTAAGTATTTTAAATTATAGTCTTTCAAAATTTTTAAAACTTCCAAAAACTAGAATTTAAAACAATGAAAAATAAAGGGTAAAAGGGTGGTGGCATACTTGGAAAAATCATCCTATTTTTATAAATTAACTGATAATTGATGTATCAATATTTCATATAACTTATAGGCGTGTTGAAGTGATATTTGAACTTTGTATTAACATAAAATTATGAGTAGTATTGAGTATAATATTATGATTATTGTAAATTAGATAATATCTAATATAATAAAATTAAATATTACTAAAAAATATTTAATCATCTTGATGTAATCTGTGGTACCTTAAAATAAATTAATAATATATTTTAGATTCTGARCGGAGCGATGAATGTATTGATTTTACCATGATATGTTTTTTTTTTGTGTGTGTGTGTCTGTCATCACGTTTTGGGGCAGTAAAAATGCTTCGATTTTTAACTTCAGTACCTCATTCGATCAGAAAGTGAATCTAGTTGGTACTTTGGGGGGTCAAAAGTAAAAGATTCTTAATACTTTTCTAAATAATCGAGAAACACAAACTAAAAATTAAGGGAAAAAC